CAGGATAATAGGACCTGATTTCAGTTAAATATTTGTGGTATTGACTCTTCTGTTAAAACAGTTTCTTTTTCTCTGCAGGCTGACTATATAATGCTGTATTCTTTAAATGACAATGAAGAATTAATTGATGGTGGAAAAAAGAATGCAATAGATGATCTGAAAGAAGGTGAATTAGAAGCCTTCATCAATAAAATAGGCATAAGCAAATATTCCAAATTTCTGCTGGAGAAAAGTGAAGAATGCATTGAAAATGAAAATGAAATAAAAAAGAAAGAAAAAGTTGACCAGAAAGAGAAGAATAAAAAACATGAAAAGGTGAGAGAGAAATTACAAGATAGAAAGGATGAACAAAAGAAATTTTCTGGAAGGAAAGAAAAGAAAAAGCTCATTCAAGATCAGGAAGTATCTCGTCCCTCTGAGTTACTAAACAGGAAAGCTAAGAAACAGGTCACCTTTGAATTTGAACCCAAATCATACTTATTGATAAAACCAGGAGGAAAGTGGTATAATATGGAGTATGCCAATGAGCACAGTTCTGAGCCACAACATGAGTCACTCATCTCACAGTATAGAAATCTAGCTAAACAGCTTTATGAGCATGAGACCAATCTTTACAGGAGTAAGAAAAATATCCAAAGAGGAGCAAATTCAACATGGATAAAAACTGTAGTCAAAACAGGCACATTAGCAGATAGAATGGCAGCTATGACACTTATGATACAAGATGCTCCAGTGCATACTCTACACTTTGTGGAAGAATTAATCAACCAAATCAAGAAGAAGGGAAGTCGGCGGCAATGTTTAATGGCTTTGACTACATTAACAGAACTACTGATCTCTGAACTACTTCCAGACAATCGAAAACTGCAAACTTTCTCCCAGCATCCCTTTAAAAATCTAGAGGAGCTTGCTAGTGGGAACAAGGATGCCCGAGACAAGCGTCTAATATTGTGGTACTTCGAACACCTGCTGAAGCATCAGTTTGCAGAGTTTGTGAAAGCCTTGGAAACTTTGGCCCATGATGCAGTTCAAGCAACAAAAGTTCGTGCCTTGGCAACAGTCCACGAGATATTGTGCAATAAGCCAGAACAAGAGAAAGCCCTGTTGATACAGTTAGTGAATAAATTAGGAGACCCGCAATATAAATTGGCCACAAAGGCCTCCTACCTTTTGGAAACTTTACTCCATAAGCATCCCAATATGAAAACTGTTGTGTGTTGTGAAGTTGAGAGACTTCTGTACAGGCCTAACATTAGTCTGAAAGCCCAGTACTATGCCATTTGCTTTCTCAACCAAATGGTCCTGAGCCATGAAGAGTGTGATCTGGCTGGGAAGCTAATATCCATTTACTTTTCATTTTTCCATGGCTATGTTAAAAAAGCAGAACTAGACTCTAAAATGCTAAGTGCCTTGCTGTCAGGTGTGAATCGAGCTTATCCTTATTCAAAGATGGATGATGAAAAGATGATGGAACAAATGGATACTTTGTACAGGATTGTACATGTTGTGAACTTCACCACAAGTGTCCAAGCACTAATGTTACTATTTCAGGTCATGGACTCTCGACAAACTGTGTCCAATCGATATTATGTAGCACTTTACAGGTAAAATTTACTTACATAAATTTTTTTTTAAAACAAACTACAACTGGAGTTACTTAAAGATTCAAATAGCGTCAGAGAAGATACGCTAGAATACAAATACGATAGCCTTAAAGTTGCAACTTTTAGAATAACGTTGTGGTATGTGGAAGAAATGTTTAAAATTATGATGTAATTGATAGACTGTTTCCAGTAATTAAAAAGCCTCCTTTTATAGAGATTTATCTTTCTCACTATTGGTTTTTTCATTCATTTAGAGACATAGGAAAAGGAATAAGCCATTTTAGACCCTCAAGCCTGTTCCACCATTCATTAAGATCAGTTTCAGTAACATAACTCCATGTACTACCTTTTACCTCCAGATCACTTGATACTTTTGGCTAACAAAAATATGTCAATCTTAGTTTTAAAATTAATATTAGCATAACCTTAATTCCTGTTTGCAGAGTTCCAAGTTTTTACTGTTAGCTAATTCCATTCCTAAAAGACCTGGCTGTCCGTTTTTTTTTATCGTGGACTCTAATTCTCGACTTACAATTAACAAAGAAACAACTCCCTATTCTCCTTAATATCTTGAAATTTATAATGTAACTCCTCAACTTTGAAATTTGAAGAAATATATCCTAATTTTGTGAGACAATTGTTCTTAAAGTCCGGGTCAGTATATCTTTTCTGACGTGGTGCCCAGGAGCGATCTCAGTATTCTGTGTGGTCTGTCCAAGGAGATATAGAAACATAACTTCAAATCCTTTCTATTCAGTTCCTCGATATCACCCTTTTATTGTTTTGTACTTGTCCATAACATTTTAATCTGTGTATTTGAACGCCCAAGTTTCTTTCTCTTTCCCCATCTTTCCACTGGGATGCATATGTTGAAGTGATATAAGAAACAGATATATAGTAGGTGTTAAAGTAGGGATGCTTCTGTGAGGCTGAGGTAAAATTAAAAAAAAAAAGATATTTTTGTATGTCCCCATCCCAGCATACTATACCTGGTTTGGAAGAGCCATTATGATCTTGGATGTAGTACTCTGTTTGCTAATTGTAACATCTTCAACTTAATGAGAATGAACTTAAAGTCAATGAGTTATGATTAATTATTTGTTTTTAACATGCATTTAAATGTTGTGTAAGTTACAAAAGGTATCTGACATACTTTGTATACAGGAATATATAAATTAAAAGAAGCTAGTTTATCAAGAAGTGAAGTAAAATTACCACATTTATAACAGAATGAATTACCAATCATAAATATGCAATCTGTTTTGTGTTAGTAGATTGCTTCCTCCGAAGCATTGGAATTGATTTTGATAATTGACCTTGGTTGAATTTAGTGTAAGAAGTGGCAATAAGGCATCATCAGGAGAGACTCAAAACCAGCAAATCCAATGTTAGTATAAATCACTAAAATAAAATGCAACAGAAAGCAAATGAATATTAAATCCCAATGTTAAAGGTATTATGGAACTAGTCTTGTGAATAATTTATGCCTGAATATGGAAATATATTGAATACTTGTCTTGAAATATCCTGGTAGTCTGAAATTCTTATATCAAGTTAAATATTTTTTGTTTGATTTCCCCATTGGCTGCTTACTTCTGTTGACTTAAGACTGTTAATTTGAGTTCCCCCAAATAAATCAAGGCTGTTATATTTCCACCAATCTTATAAAATTTTTGTGCACTAGGAGAGGGGGGCAGATTACCAATATCCATTTTACTCTTTGAATCTTAAGAGAGTTGGGTTGGCCCATGTGGAGCATTCAGCATGGACTATTTGACTCATTAGTCTGCTTCTGTGCTGTGCATTCTCTTTATTTCTATCTAACCTATGAAGATTACCTTCCATTATTCATGACGTTTATGGATTCTATTGCCATTAACTACACCACAATCCTAGTTTGCTGTTCCTCCTTCATTTTAATGTCAACTACCAATTATTCATTTTGAAAACATGAACACCCCCTGGAATTTTAAAGGCAGGACCTTTTATGTTACAACTGAGATGAAAGGAGTGCAATGTTTCTCTAGTCCCATTATTCCACAGTTCACACATTAGTAAGTTGTTTTACCTGGTTTCTGATTTGGCCAATCACATGCTTTTTGCTATATAGGTTCAATTTTTAAAAAAACGTCAACTAGGTTGCTTTTATGATAAATCAGTCATTTTGAGTTTATTAAACAAGAAACTGAAAGAAGATGCAAAACTGGTTAACACACTTAGTTTGCAAAGTGAAAATGTTTACAATTCACTTTGGGAGGATGGGAGAAGGCACTTTTGGCCAATACGTCTTAGTTCTTGAAGGCAAAATAAAGTATAAATTATGAAATATTCAACTGGCTGGTATTCTGGCACATGTAGATGGGTGTCAATAACATAAGCAGTTGTTCCTGGGATCTTGACAGAATCAGCTTCCCAGGAAATCTGAACAATCCCTATAAGCAGAAGCTGCAACCTGACAGTCATAAACTCAGGCAAGGGTCAAAAAAATGTGGAGCTGGAAAAGCACAGTAGGTCAGACAGCATCCAAGGAGCAGAAAAGTCAACGATTTGAGTTGGAAGCCTTCAAGACTGCTCCTTTCTGTCTCCAACTCGGGCAAGGGGTTTGCAGTAAACAACCAGTTACCAAAAGACATAATTTTCAAGAATGTCTGGTTTTAAAAAATTCCAGTTTGCTTTCATTGACCTCTTTGTTTAAAATCAACTATCCTTCACACTCAAGTCTGCAAGAATAATTAAATATGAAGTAACTTCACATAAAGATATAAAATTTGGTAACTGAATTATCTGAAATTGTGTGCATGGTTACTATGTAAAAGCTGCCTCCAGTTGCATAGACATTCTTTGAAAAATATATACAAAACAATTAAATGCTTTTAGCTTAGTGATTTTTGTTTCCTGGCTAAATAAGTCTTATTCATTATTTTATTACGTGTGCTGCAGTCTCTCCCTTTAAAGTCCTGGCTTATACTTTTAATTAGTTTGCCTTCTTACTGTTTGGGTGAGCAATACAATTGAGGCAGATAAGATTTATGTGTGCTGTAAGTTCATTGTCTCAGTTTCTATTCTAATTGAAGTGGTTGGCAAAAATCGAGGACAGGCATTTGCCTACTCTCCAATATAATTTTCCTGAATTGCTCTTGTTGATTGAAGTCTGATTAAGATCAGAAAAATATGCTTCAATGAATCACAGACATAAAATAACAATTTGCCCTGTTGTGGCACAAGGTCTTTCAATATCTAAGACGGAGTTTTTCAAAGTCAGGGCCAGGACCTCAAGTGGGGTTACGAGCTGACACTTTAGGATCATGAGCTCCAAGACAGCAATTTTTGCCACAGAGTCTGCCTTCCCCCTCCGCACTTCCCTATCCACCTTCAGTTTTCTCTGTTGTCATCCAGGGTTGCAGTGGCTTTCAAGCCTTGAAATAGGGTCACCAAAAGAGAGATTTAGGGTAACGTTGTTCTGAAGTATCCACTCTCAAATCAATTTATGTACTTGTCTTCAAGTTAATTTTTACTATTGTGACAGTAATGGGCTCTCTCATAAATTGGAAAACGCAGAACAAATAAATCCATTACAACTTGATGGGTTCTGTAAATTTTGTTCTGCACCTTGCTTCGATAAAGCTAGAAGTTGGCTTTGGTTCAGGACTGGTTATTTTGGAATTATGCATACTGTATGATCATGTAACACAGGCACTTTAGATCAACATGTACATGTGCTCAAAATGTAAACGGAAGTGAATAATGAAAGATTATTTACACAAGCGAATCAGTACAAAATAGTCAGACATAAAAGTATAAGATTGGAGCCTGGAATATTCTTTTTACAGTGTGGGAAAACAGTGACACCAGCTTTTGAGGCAGAAGCCATCACCGCACTGAAGAGGAAATTAGATAAACATGGAAAAATGTTAAGGAATTCAGAAAAATTATTTAGTGTAAATGGTTCCAGTATGGAGGTAGCATGATGGCCACAGAAGTGAAATGGCCACCTGTACTACTTGAGTAATTCAATATACACAAGTTAAGGGTTAATGTATTTTTACACCTGCTGTTTTTTTTTCAAAAAAGTACATAATCTGACTTTCATATGCAGGAAGCTGTTGGATCCAGGACTGGCGCAATGTTCTAAACAAGCCATGTTTTTGAATTTGCTATACAAGTCTTTGAAGTCTGACGTCGTGCTTCGTCGTGTTAAAGCATTTATAAAACGGATCTTGCAAGCCGCTTGTGGCCAAACGCCAGCATTTATATGTGGAGCTCTCTATCTCATTTCCGAGATTTTGAAACTGAAGCCAGGCATCCGAGTCCTGTTACAAGAACATGGGGTATTGCTTTCACTATTTTATCAGGCCATTGTGTCTCATGTTATTTTATTCTTTAACATAAAAGGCATTGTTTGGCACTCTTGCTATAGACTTATCCATTATTAAGTTTTGTGTGTGTCACAATGAGTTTTGTGTCAAATAGTCTCAAAGCAAGGTTTTATAAATTCTTTGCAGGTTTAAATATGAATTTAAAATGCATTAGATTTTGAGTGAAAATACATTTTTTAAAACAGTCCATTTGATTACAAATTTATCGAATAACAGGAGAATTTATGAATTCAGGCATATTGGTATATTAGGCATGGATTCAAGTAGTATTTGAAAACTATGAAGTCACTGCTGGTGTTAATTATTTGGTTTAATTCCAAAAATCTGAGGTACAAGAGTTTAGATCCTTCAACTAGGATATAAATTTATGTATTTTGAAATGATATGCACTTATAATTTAGTGGCTCACTGATACATTTTTTTTTTGAATGTCTTGAATAAAGAAGGCTAATTGAGCAAGAATCTGGATAACGCTACCTGTTCTCAACACCTCCCAGTGTGGAAGTGTAACCCCCAGCATGAACTGGCACCAACAGCCTTAGTAGTAGATTCTACAAGTGATGTAGTTGTTTCGTTAAATAAATAATTTCCTTACAATGTCAGTGATTCTAATAAATCATTGCATGTCAAATAAATGTCTTTTTTTTTGTTCAGGAATCTGATGAAGAAGAGCATTTTAAAGATATTGATAACAGTGATGAGGAACAGATATTTGAAGATCTTGATGAAAAGATGAAGAAGAAATCAGATGAAGGGGAGAAATATATTGATGTTGATGAAAGAGATGCTGCCAAAGAACAAAAAGATGTACAGAATAATATTGTAAATGGCAAAACAGAGTTAATAACATCTGGATCGTGGTTGCATCACAAAAATCAAGGTGATAAGCTATTTGGATCGGCTGGTGTGGGGCAAATACTTTTCTTTTGCAAGCTTGTTAGTCATAATTTGACAACATCTAAAACAAATGTTGAACAGTTCTGAAGAAGATCATATTGGACTCGGAATGGAAACATGGTTACAAAGCAATCAAATATTCAGGTGTATGTGACTTTTAAAAAAAGACCGGCAACTAGAAAATTGTGGAGGGGTGGCTTTGTTAGTATGAGTTGGCTTCACTGTTTATTTCAAGTAATCAAGCAATCGCACAAGACATCCGAAGCCATCTCCCTTGTGTTCCTGATTTGTAGTGTGATGTGTTTGTCCCACTACAGTTAGCATGCATGTGCAGCAAGTAATCAAATAGGCAAATTGAATTTTGGGTTTTATTGCTAGCAGATTGAACTTTAAAAATAGACAAGTCTTATTGATTCTGTACCCAGTGTTGGTAAGACTGTAACTGGAGTAACCATGTACTGTTTTGGTCATCGTATTAAGAAAGGATGTATTGATGTTGAAGGCAGCTCAAAAGAAATTAGGCCTTCATCTGTTAGAGTTTAGAAGAATGAGGGCCAATCTTAATGAAACAATTAAGATTCTGAGGGGACTTGACGTGTGGACGTTCAGAAAATGGTTCCATGATGGGGGAATCTTGAACCAGGTATCAGAGTTAGAGAATAAAGGAACACTCATTTAAAACTGAGATGTAAAGTAATTTCTTCTTTCTGAGAGTAGTGAATATCTTTCTACATTAGAGAGATGCAGAGGCTCAATCACTTAATGTGTTTGGGGAAGAAGGGGGTAGATTTGTGCTATATTGAAGAGTTTAGTGTGCTGGTACTAAAGGTGGGGGGAGGGGGTTGGGATTAAGACCTGAGGCAGCTTGTTGAATCGTGGAGCCAACTTGAAGGAACAAATGGCCTACCCCTGCTCCTATTTCTTGCACTATATTCTTATTAGTGGACTTGGAAATGAGTTTAGCAGAAAAGACAGTGGTTGAACAATGGCAGTCATTGAATATATTCTTGGCTCATGGAAAAAATATATCCAGTAAAAAAAAAAAAGCTTCTAGGAAGGGGATAAACTGACCATGGTTAAGCAATGTGGGATCATGTTCAATATGACCAAGATCGGTGAGTAGCGAAACTAGCCTCTTTAATGAGCGTCTGCAGTAGCACAGTTCGAGGCGACGATGGAGTCTGAAGTACAGTTTTATAGTAGCCTCTTTGATACGCAGTTTTTACATACATTAAAATTTTAGCAGTATGGTGTCACATAGTTGTATCTATTGTACACAAGTTTGTGTGACATCTGTCCTGGGGAAACAGGAGATAGTTTAACCACTTGCTAAATGCTGGATGTTACTCCTGATGGGATTAGAATGTCTGTCCAGCCTGAGCTTGCATAATTAAGAGGTGTTAGTCCTTTTGTTTTTAAAGTTAGTAATGTTAGTAGAAATACTAGACCTACATGATCTAAATAAGTGAGAAATTATACGTATACTTAAAAAAAAGTGTAGAGGATATTAAACTGATATCCCGCAGCTGGGTCGTGAGATTTCATTTACTATTGCCGATATTAACAGTTCCTATCCATCCATTCATGCAGTTTCATAGAAGTGCTGTTTTGATAGTAAGTTCCTTAAAGGGGGTAGTGGCCCTATTTAATATGTATTTAAAAAGTATAACTCCGTACATTAGTACAAGATAGTAGTCCGAAATGACTGTTAGAAATGGGAATTGCAGAGTTATAGAAATAGGTAGCGTATAAGGAAATTTCAAAGAGATAAAAATCAGCAGACTGTAGGGACATGCTGGTGGAGGTCCTGCAGCCTGTTCAGGTCCCAAGAGATGGTTACTAAGGGCTAATTAATATTATAATCTCTCCATCGTTTCAAGCGAGTTATGGAGACGTGATGGCATGGATGGCATTGATGTGAGTAGGTTACAGTATTAACACTTATTCAGGGGTAGCCTTTGATACAGAAATAGGTCTAAACACTGCTTGCAGCATGCAGCCGATAAGAATTGAAAGATGTAAAGAAACAGTAATAGGTTGGCAGCCTAGGAAGGGATGCTTAATTTAGTTTATCTTGTAAGAGTAAAATGCACTACGAAAATTTGGTTTTACGAATGAATGAATGGAAATGCAGTATCATAAACATAGAGTGCTTGTGAGTGAGTTAGTCAGGAGAATTGTAATACGATATCTACAGCAAGAAAGTTAAGGAAAGTATCACATTGTATGTTTTGTTTTACTTTTGATGCGACAAAGATTAATGATGAACTACAGTTGGAAAGTTTTAAAAACCTAACAAAAGAAATGAAGAATAATAAATCCATGAGGATAAAGTATCAAGTACTTTCAAAATGGCCAGTGAAAGAGAAAGGCCAGATTGAGCATAGTACCTTACAGAACAATTGGGGTAGTAATAATGGGGAACCAGGAAATGCCAGCAGAGTTGAATAAATACTTTACATCAGTTTTCACTGTTTAGATGTAAATAACATTCCAAAGTTATTAAATTAGGAGGCAAAAGGTGGGCAGGACATAGAGAAAAAGTACAAAGGAAGCTAAGGTGTCTAAAGGATGTCAATTCCCTTGGACCTGATGAGTTCTATCCTAGGATACTGAAGGAAGTAGCTACACAGGTGTACTGGTGGTACTGGTAGTAACCTTCCGAACATCGTCAGATTCTGGATAAGTGCCAGCGGATTGGAAAATTGCTGATTGTGGCACCCTTATATAAAAGTGGGTAATAGTGGGGGTAGTTAGACAGTTAGCCTATGTTTCAAAGGGAATGGAGTATTAAAATAGGGAGGGCTTGCTAAAATTATGCAAAGCATGAGTCACATCATACCAGGACTGCTGTGAACAGTTTTGTACCCCTTACTGAAGGGAAGACGTACTAGTGCACACTGAGTCAGTCCAGGCAAGATTCTCTAAGTTGATTTCTGGAATGGAGGGATTGTTTCATGAGGAAACATTGGTCTTTACTAACTGGAGTTTTAGAAAAATGAGGGGCGACCTTAATGAAATATATAAGATTCTCCAGAGATTTGATAGCATAGATGCATTGTTTTCACCCTGTGCGGGAGTCTAGGACCAGAGAGCATAACCTCAGAATTAGAAGTCACCCATTTTAGACAGCAATGAGGAGAATTTCTTTTTCTTTTCTCCTGAAGGTAATTAACTTGTGGAATTCTTTACCACTGAGGAATGTCAAGGCTGGGTTATTAAATACATTCAAGGCTGAGATAGACATTCCTAAACAGTAAGGGATTTATAATAATAGGGGGCATGCACTTAAGGTGAGTGGGGGAATGTTCAAAGGAGATGAGAGGGAAAGTTTTTTTTACACAGGTAGGAGTCTGGAACACACTGCCAGGGGTGGTGGTGGAGGCAGATACCATAGGGGTGTTTAAGGGACTTTTGGATAAGCACATGAATGGAGGGATATGGACCAAGGGCAGGCAGAGGGATTAATTTAATTTGGCATCATGTTCAGCGCAACATTGTGAGCTGACGGGCCTGTTTCCATGTTGTGTTGTACTGTTCTATGTTCTAAGGGAATCGCAGGTTATGGGGAAAAGGCAGGAAAGTGGAGTTGAGGGTTATCAGATCACCTTTGACCTCATTGAATGGCTTGGCAGATACAATCGGCTGAATGACCACCTCTGCTCCTATTGAACTTTTTGTTTCTCTTCATAGGTGCAGCATGAGTTGCTGAGTTGCTCTAAGACTTTGTTTTTATTTCAGATCTCTAGTATTCCCATTATTTTGTCTCTTATTAAGAAGAAATCTTTCCGTTCTGGCCAAACTACTCTTCCTCAACTTCTATCTCTGTGTCCTCTGCCTTCTTGGCATGGCCTAATCAAGCAGAGGTTTAAACAATGAGTTAGATAGTTATAGCATAATTTCCATGCTCTTGTACTGAGTGCCTTTAATTATAAATCCTAAAATATTACATACAGAACTTGATGTCTAAATTTTGATGCAATGTTCCTTTTTAAGAAAGAAAACTGTCTGTATGAGTGGAGAATATATGCTTTGTTGACAGTAATTACTATTATGTAAAATGTTGCTAGCATTATCAAGCACTGCCCTTTGTTTTAGGTGGTAAGTGTCTGGGAAACTATGACCCATTTCATAGAAATCCCCTCTCTTGTGGAGCAGACCGCATTGGCCTCTGGGAATTGAAGAAGGTAAAATACATCTTTACTAAGTAAATATTATATATTATGTGCACAGTGGCAGTGCCTTTTTTTTTTAAAAAAAAAAGGCACTTTTAAGCTTAAGAGTACTTGATTTATGTCTAATGAAAAAAGATTGTAGTTGCATCAGTTGTGTTAGTCAACAACAAAGTATAAGTTAAAATTTCAAATCACCTTTAGTTACGAAATTGAGTCATGTGGACAGTATTTTCTTGTATGTCTGCCTGGTAATTTTGTGGTGGCAGGGTGGGGTGGGCAACAATCTGTCATGCTATACATTTAATTAAACAATGTTATGTTTTATGATGAAGTCCCACATGTATACTTCACATGAGGATAATTACGATATGAATTATTATTTAGAAATTAGGATTCTTTCAGATTTGGAATGAGGTTTGATTTGTCCCATGGGTAAGATCTTCACGTAGTTTTATATATTCCTGTAGTGTAGGCGAAGATTTTTGATAAACCAGAAGATTAGGAAAGTTTTAAAGACCAACAAAAGACAATTTTAAAAAAAAGGGAGAAAATAAACTTTGAGGGTCAACTTGCAAATAATATCAGATTAGATTAAATTACTTATTTATTGTCACATATATCTAGAAAGATAAAGTGAGAAGTGCTGTCACCAAAATAAAGCATCATTTGAGTTACATCTTCCTTGCAAGGCCCACCGAGTCCACGATTGAGGCTCCTGAAGCCAGGAATCCCTGCTCCAGGCACTGCCGCTGCCACAGCTGAAATCTCACCAAGTCCATGCTGTGGGCCTACCGAAGCCAAGAAACGTCTTCCGGGCACCGCCACTGCTGCAGCCAATGGTCCATCGAGCACCATTAGAGCCGACTAGCCCCCGAATTCCAGGCCTACCCAAGTCAGGAGTCCTCGGGCCACTGCTGACAACCCTCCAACACCGCTGCAGCTTCCCCACAATGTCAGAACATGAAGAAATGAGAAAGAAAAAGATGGAAAAGATGGACAGCAAGAGCTTCTTTAACTATATAAAAGGAAAAGAAAAGCCAAAGTGCATACAGGCCCCTTAGAGGATGAGTCTAGGGAAACATTAATGGGGGACTAGAAATAGGCAGAGGAGTTGAATAATACTTTGGATCAGCCTTCACCATAGAAGACACTAATAGCATTCAAAAATATGATACATTCAAGGGGAAAAAGATAGGCAATAACCACAGTTATCAGTAAAAGAAGAAGAAACAAATGGGCAAAAAGTCTGATTAAGTTGCTGGACCTAATGAAATGCATCTTTGTATACGAGAAGAGGTAGCTTCAGAGATTGTGGATGCACTGGTAGTAGTCTTCCAAGAATCTTTTCCAGAATTTAAAGTCCCAGAGGATTGGAAAACCACTTTTATTTAGAAAAGGAAGGAGATAAAGAACAGGTAACTTTAAGGCAGTTATCTTAATGTCTGTCATTGGGAAAAGCTGGAGTCTAATGTGAAGGATGTAATAGAGGAACATTCAGAGGTACATAATATGCTTAAGTAGAGCCAGCATGGTTTTATGGAGGGAAAGTCATGCCTGAAAATTTTACTACAATTTTTTGTGGAAGTAACAAGCAGGATTGATTTTCAGGAAGCAGTGGATGTAATCCAATTGGATTTTCAGAAAGTGTTTGATAAGGTACACATATTAGGCTACATAATAAGATGAGAACCCATGATGATGCATGTATATATCATGGATAGTTGATTGGCTACAATAAAAGACAAAGACCTGGGTTTGGGAGGGCATTTCAGGATCTAACCTGTAACTGATGATGTGCTGCAGGGATCGGTGTTGCAATTATTTACAATAAATATTCATGACTTGGATGAGAAAAGCAAATGTACTGTTGCCAAGTGTTTAGATGATGCAAAAATAGGTGGGAAGCTAAATGGTGAGGATGACACAAAGTCTGCAGAGTGATATGGACAAACATTAAAAACTTGGCAGATGAAATGTGAGGTTTTGCACTTCAGTAGGAAGAATAGATGAGCTGAATATTATTTAAATGGAGAAAATCTGCAGCTAGCTATGACACGGGGGTTTGGAAGTCCTTGATCATGAATCTCAAAATACTACCACTCAAGTTCAGCAGGTAATAATGAAGGCATATGGAGTATTGGCCTTCATTTCAACAGGAATGGAGTACAAAAGTAGGAACGTTTTGCTAAAACTATACAAGTCATTAGTCAGATCATAGCTGGAATATTGTGAACAGCTTTGGGCCCCTTACCTAAGGAAATATATACTGGCGTTGGAGATAGCTTAGCTTAGTGAATCTTCTCTGGCCGGACACCCCAGGTATGGAGGGCTTTTCTTATTGAAACATTGAAAATAGGTGCAGGAGGAGGCCATTGGGCCCTTTTTGAGCCTGCACCACTATTCAATACGATCATGGCTAATCATGCAATCTTAGTATCCCATTCCCACCCTCTCCCCATACCCCTAAATCCCTTTAGCCACAAGGGTCATGTCCAGCTCCCTCTTGAATGTATCTAATGAACTGGCCCCAACAGCTTCCTGTGGGAGAGAATTCCAAAGTTTCACAACTCTGAGTGAAGAAATTCTTCCTCATCTCAGTCCTGAATGGCTGACCCATTATTCTTAGAGTGTGACCCATTGTTCTGGGCTTCCCCAACATCAGGAAATTCTTCCTGCATCTAGCCTGTCCAGTTCCATCACGATTTTATGTTTCTGAGATCCCCCCCCCCTCATTCTTCTAAATTCCAGTGCATACAAGCTCAGTCAATCCAGTCTTTCCTCATATGTGAGTTCTGCCATCCCAGGAATCTGCCTGGTGAACTTTTGCTGGACTCCCTCAATAACAAGAATGTCCTTCCCTGGACTAGGAGACCAAAACTGCACACAATACTCAAGGTGTGGCCTCACCAAAAGCCCTGTGTAACTGCAGCAAGATATCGTTACACTGATACTCCAATCCTCTTGCTATGAAGGAGAGCATACCATTAGCTTTTCTCACTGCCTGCTGCATCTGCATGCCAACCTTCAGCAACTGTTCCACCATGACACCCAAATCTTGTTGCACCTCACCTTTTCCTAAACTGCTACCATTCAGATGATAATCTGCCTTCATGTTTTTTTTTTGTGACCAAAATGTATAACCTCACATTTATACACATTATATTGCATTTGCCAAGTATTTGCCCACTCAGCTAGTCTGTCCAAGTCACCCTGCAGCCTCTTAGAATCCTCCTCACAGTATGCATTGCCACTCAGCTTGGTGTCATCTGCAAATTTGGAGATATAGCATTCAATTCCTTCGTCCAAATCAATAGTGTATATTGTGAACAGCCGAGGTCCCAGCACTGAACCCTGTGACACCCCACTTGTCATTCCTGCCACTCTTTAAAAAGAACCAGTTTATTTCAACTCTCTGCTTCCTGCTTGCCAATCAGTTCTCTGTCCATGTCAATACATTCCCTCTGATACCATGAGCTTTAATTTTCCTTACTAATCTCTTGTGGAACCTTGGCAAAAGCCTTTTGAAAGCCCAGACACACAACATCTGCTGATGCGCCATTGTCTACTGGGAGGTCATACCCTTTAAATTCTAGAAGATTTGTCAAGCATAATTTCCCTTTAGTGAATCCATGCTGACCAGGACTGATTCTGTCACTGCTTTCCAAATACTCAATTATTACATCCTTAATCATTTGACTCCAGCATTTTCCCCACCACCGATGTCAGGTTAACTGGCCTATACATCACCATTTTCTCTCTCCCTCCTTTTTTAAAGAGTGGAGTTACATTAGCTACCCTCCAGGCCAGAGTCTACAGAATGCTGGAAAATGATCACTAAAGCATCCGCTATTTCTCAGGACACTTCTTTAAGTACTCTGGGATGCAGAGCATCAGGCCCTGGGAATTGTGTGGGTTTTAATCCCATCAACTCCCCCAATACCGTGTCCTCACTAATAAGGATTTCTTTCAGTTCCTCCTTCATGCTTGACCGTCTGTCCTCTGACATTTCCTGAAGATTATTTGTGTCCTCCGTAGTGAAGACAGATCCAAAGTATTTGTTTAACCGATCTGCCATCTCTTTGTTGGCCATTATCAATTCAATTGATTATAACTGCAAGAGACCTACATTTGTCTTCAACAGTCTTTTTCTCTTCACATATATAGAAGCTTTTGCAGTCAGTTTTTATGTTCTTCTGCTCAATTTTAAATTTCTCCCAGTCCTTGGGTTTGCTGCTTTTTCTGGCCAATTTATGTGCCTCCTTTTTGGCTTTAAGATAGTACCTGATTTCCCTTGTTAACCATGTTTGAGCCACCTTCCCTGTTTTACTGTTATGCCAGACGGGGATATACGATTGTTGAAGTTCATCCATGTGTTCTTTAAATATCTGCAATGCCTATCCACTCAATCCTTTGAGTACTCATGGCCAGCTTGTCCTAGCCAATGCATGCCTCCTACCATCAAAGTTAGCTTTCTTAAAGTTCAGGACCCTTCTTTCAGATTTATTTGTGTCACTCTCCAAGTTAATGAAGAAATCTACCATATCATGGACACTCTTTCCCAAAGGATCTCGACCACAATATTGCTAATTAATCCTCTGTCATTACACAATACCCAGTCTAGGATAGATCAAGGAAATCATCCCTCATACATTCCAGGAAGTCGTCCTCCATCGCATTGCTACCAGTTTGGTTAGTCCAATCAATATGTAGATTGAAGTTTGAAGAGTTTGTGTAGATTGGACCAGTACTTGTTGGAATTTAGAATGAGAGATGACTATTGAAACATACAAGCATCTTGAAGGAATTGACAGGTTAGATGCAGAAAGTTTGTTTCCCTTTGTGGGAATTTTAAATGTGTTTTATTTAAAATTGTGAAAGCTGATTCTAAATGTGCATGAACAGCAAAATGTCTTCTAGATCTGTGTAAAGTTCTTCCCAACATTTTATTTTCCTTTGGTGCTACTTCACAGCTAAGTGAACATTTCCACCCATCTGTGACACTCTTTGCAACAACTATCCTGCAGGTAAGATAGATAAATATCTTGTGAAGTTTGTGCTTTTCTCTAACAACAGAAATTGCTATAAAAGCTCAGCAAGTCTGGCAGCATCTGTGGAGAGAAATCAGAGTTAACATCAGTTAACTCTAACGTTTTGGATTGAGTGACCCTTCCTCCTCTGACGTTAACTCTGATTTCTCTCCACAGATGCAGCCAGACCTGCTGAGCTTTTACAGCAATTTCTTTTTTTGTTCCTGATTTACAGCACCTGCAGTTTTTTTTTCAGTTTTTACTTTTGTGTTTTTCCCTGTTTCTTTCTCCAACTTTCTGTCAACAAATTTGTTCTTGAGTTATTTAGTTTTAAATTAAGAATTGTATTGCAAAATGACACTTGAGCTGATTTGTCACAACAATATTTCTTCTCCACTTCACAAGGTTTGTATGGATATTGGCAAGTTTATTATATCCTGCAGGTCATCATCCTGTCGTCAAGTTCAATTGGTTTAAGGATTTAATGTGTCCTGGTCGACCCAAAAACACCACTAGCAATTGTAACAAAAACAAAGTTGCTGGAAAGGCTCAGCAGGTCTGGCAGCATCTGTGAAGGAAAAAACCGAGTTAACATTTCGGGTCCGGTGACCCTTCCTCAGAACTTTTGGTGGCTGGGAAAACTTCAGCTTATATGCAGAAAATAGGGAGGTGAGTGGAATAGGAAGTAAACGGTAGGATAGAGCCTTGAGAGAGAGAGAAGGACAGTTGAACAGACAAAAGAGTTGATAATGATCAGGCTGGGAGGGTGAATAGTTATTAATGGGGCTTATTAGTGACTAACAAATGCCATCTGATCCATTTCTGCCACCTCCAGCAAGATGCCACCACCAGACACCTATTCCCCTCTCCCTTGTCCGTCTTCTGCAGGAAACTTTTCTCTCCCCCACCCCCCCCTCCCCAACAGCCCTATGGCACCTTCCCCTGTAACCAGTGACGTTGCAACACCTGCCCATTTACCTCCTCCCTCCCCACTATCCAAAGGCTTAAGCATACCTTCCAAGTGAAGTAACACTTCACCTGCATTCGCTGCTGACAATGTGGTCTCCTCTACATTGGAAAAACGAAGTGTAAGACTGGGTGACCACTTCGCAGAACATCTACGTTCAGCTCGCAAAAGAGACTCTGAACTACCTGTTGCCTGCCACTTTAACACACCACCCTGTTCCCTGGCCAACATCTCTGTCTCTGGCTTGCTGCAGTGTTCCAGCGAAGCTCAATGCAAGCTGAAAGAACAACACCTCATTTTCTGCTTGGGGACCCTGCAGCCGTCCAGACTCGATATCGAGTTCAATAATTTTAGGGCCGAAACTCTCCCATGTCCCAGCCCCTCCCTACCCCACACACCAGGCCTTGTGTAATGGCAGGCTATGTGATAACACCACCTGTTGTTAGTCACTAATAGTCCCCATGAACAACTATTCACCCTCCCAGCCTGATCGTCATCAACTCCTTTGTCTGTCCAACTGTCCTTCTCTCTCAAGGCTCTATCCTATTGTTTACTCCCAACCCCACCCACCTCCCTATTTTCTGCATATAAACTGCCATTTTCCCAGCCACCATCAGTTCTGAGGAAGGGTCACTGGACCCGAAACGTTAACTTTGTTTTCCTTCACAGGTGCTGCCAGACCTGCTGAGCTTTTCCGGCAACTTTGTTTTTGTCCCTGATTTACAGCATCCGCAGTTCTTTCGGGGTTTTTTTTTAAACTAGCAGTTGTAACTTCTCCATTTTTCCTCTCCCACAGATTTGTATAGAAGTTTATTAGGTCTGATCTTCCTTAAACTTCTTTGTAAATTATACTTTATCAGGTGTCAGTTTTATCATTAAAACAAGTTTTAGGAACTAAAAATTTCATTGGATTTATAAAAATGGTATCTGTTGTGAGTTGGTAAAATTAAACTTTTTGCCTGTGTGACTTCTGCTAGGGTGACCACATCCAGTATTCCGGAGACCCTCTACAAGACTTTACATTAATGAGATTTCTTGATCGTTTTGTGTACAGAAACCCCAAACAACATAAAGGCAAAGGTAGGCTCTATCTCTGTTATTGTTTACAAAAAAAACCTAGTGTTTCATATCTCATTGCTAAATTTATACATCTCCCATGTTATTCTATAAGTATTTTCTGAAACAAAAATCCCTCAAATGTGTCATTTTATAATTGTGGTGTATAATGCAATGTTCAATCAACATCTGGGATGAAAGCTGCAATTGGTAAAAAGACCTAAAATAAGCTCCATGTCAAAATCAAATTAAATAACAAACATCAAAAAATTGAGTACTCTTGTGCCAATTTGAATGTATAGCAATAATAATGGATACGTGCATTTCCTTTCAATGGTGGCACATTTCTTCTGTTTTGTTACACTTAAATATAGACAAATGGATTCTATTTTTTTGTTGAGGCTAGTTGGTTCCTGCAAATTTTGTGACAGTAAACTTTACAAAATAGAAACAAGCCAGTTATTTTAGATCATACAAAAAAATCCATAAGACAAAATACATATAAGACAGCTATCAGTATTTGTACTATATAATTTTTAAAATCCATTTATCCTACAGTTCTGATTAGAACTCTAACTGAAACTGATTGGATTTAATCCACAGTCTTAACAATGTAGAAAGTCATTCACAGAGTGTCAAATATGTTGCAGCTTTAAAAGATTGTGGACTGAACAAGAATGAAACTCTGGTCCATTTGAACCTATATTTGACGTTTCAATGTAAAACAATCCATCACTCATGATTTCATAAAACAGAACATCATGTCTTTGTATTGTTTGATTTGGGGTAAGATCAAAAAATGATGCCAATATTCAGTTAAACAGAGGCACTTACTAAACCAAGACATACAATGGTTCATCATTAAGGTTATGGCTCCCAGCTCTGCAAAGACTATGATAGTAATTAACATAGAGGAACCAACAACATGTTTTTGGTCTGTAATTTATTTGAGAAAGTTGGGCTTACTGTATATTGGCAGGAAAATCATGATGTAGGTTAAGATTAAGGAGTACTAATTTGTTGATTCAAAAAAAGACCCTTAACTCCCCTCATCATGAATGTTGCGCAACATTAGGATAGTTTTTCATTTTTGTATAATCAGATGAACATGAGACTTTTTGTTTAATTTATAAGTGAAGAATATACGAGCACTAAAGATGATGCATAGTGATTAGGCCACTACCTGCAGCTTTTGAGACTTAAGTCCTAAAGTGTGACGATTGCTATAATGCTTTTGACTGTATTTTCTAAAGCAAAACATACACTCTTGGACTTGAATCTAATTGTGTCCACTGTGGTGTAGTTGGTAGCACATTTTTTTTCTGGATCACAAGGTTCTGGGTTCAAGTCATACTTCAAGACCTGTGCAAGAAAGGAAAAAATCAGGATTGACACTAGCATGCAGTACTGAGGGAGCATAGCAGTATTGAAGGTGCCATCTTTTGAATGAAACATCGAGCTTGAGGCCGCATCTGTCTGCTCAGCTGCATGTGAAAGATTGCATGGCACTATTTTGAAGAAGATCAGGGGGGTTATTTTTGGCATCCTGGCTAATATTTATCCCTCAAGTTACAGACAAAAAAAATTAAGATTTTGTGGTCATTATCACGTTTTGAGAGAGTTTGCCATGTCTACAATGATGACACTTCAAAAGTAATTTGTTGCTTGTAAAGTGTTTTGATTCATTCAGTGGTGTGAAAAGCGGTATGTAAATATTATTCTTTTGTATGAAACCAATTTTTTGTTTTTCTTTTGTAATATGGACATTAAAATTGAGTTCAGCTGCTAAGATAAAGACCAGTATACCCAAATGGGACTATTTCCTATATGTTTCTCTTCAGGTCCCTTAGAAGTCAATTCCAGTTACTCTTGCTGAGAAGTGGCACAAACGTGACTTGTCTAATAGCCACAGTCTGTGTAATTACAATTCAATAAAAGAAAATTGGATAGAAATATGTCCAATTACTGATTTTAAGTGTGTGTCTGTGGCTGAGTATGGATAAAATTATTATTGACATTATACAATATATAAAATAATTACG